ACAGAACTCAGAGGCACAAAAGCACATTCAGAGTTAATTCACAACAGACACTGTGACAGAAACATCTGAGAAACTTCCTCAGCCAGATTCAACCCATCAGATTCAAGCCTAAGGAACCAGCTGGCCAAAGAACAGTTTAAAATATCCAAGATCTACAAACAGAGATTTGCTCTTCCCTCAAGCCACAGCAGAGAAAATGCAGGTTTCAGAGACAAAAGCTCCTGTACATGCAGTTTGAGGAAGGAGGGAAGTGACAAAAACTTAAATCCTCAGAGACGTTCATGTACGTCAGCTCCTGCCAGCACCAAGAATAAACAGAGCTAACGAGGCTGGAGCAGTGCCAATCAGCATTAGAGAAATTATGTGCCAGGCCAGGGAGTCAGCTAATCCACAGGAAGACTGTAAAAAACACTCCACAAGAGCTGCCGGAACTCACAGCTACCAGCTGCCAAAGCCTCCTACCCTTAGAGGCTTTTGAAAGTTTGGCTTTGGGATATCAGGCACAAGACTGCTGCTCAGCATGGTTTAGGGACAGCAGAAGAAAAGGAGGAACACAGTGCAAACTGGAAACTTGTTTTCATGTACAGTCCTACCCTAGAACTAGGAAAAAGGGAAGGGCAGCTTCCTTTCCTGCAGTTTCCAACTGTTCACTGAGCACAGCAGCCTCAGAGGGTGCTCGAGCCAAAAGCCAAAAGCACAGAGCACAAGAACTGCATCAGCAAATGCAAGAAGTGACTACACAGCTCAGAGAAAGGTTGGTGTCATCACTTGTATAAAACAAACCAGCCCAGAACCAACAACCAAACTGCCATGATACAATATAACCTATGAAAACAAATTTTCTGTAGTGTCCCAAAGGCAGGATTTGCCTCCAGCTCAGCTGCTCCTCACCTCAACAGCCCCAACAGCAAGAAGCACCAAGACACTGGCAAATCAAGACCCACAAGAGAAATAAATTCAGTGGCAAGAGGGACAGACTTCCCAGCACACACAGCTTGGGGTTTGGCTACTGGAACAACCTAGGGAAGCTCAACAACAGGATGCCAATCCTTCAGGGAGAAGAAAAAACCAGGATTGAGAAAAGTTGCTTCATTGTAGCTAAACATGAGTACTAAAACCAACAGAAGTCCAAAATACTGGGATTTGTCATGATATCAAAGTGTAATTGTGATTATTAATGTGTGACTGTAACAGCATTTTCCAAGTCAACTGAGCCTGCACTGCTTTGGCAGCATGAGATGCTTTATTTTTTTTAATATACCAATAACCACAATCCTCACTTCAACAAAGTTGGGGTATTTTGTTGGGGTTTTATTTGTTCTTTAAACGAGGACAATAAATGCTTATTTTGGCACAGAAAACATTCCTCCAAAGCCACACTTTGGCTTCCTTTTCCCCCATTTTCTTTAACTGTATCCAAAACATTAGCCTCCCTGTATTCAAGCCAACATAGAAGCTGCAGGTTCTCAAAAGTGCAACACCTCTCAAAAGTAGAAACCCCTTCAGAAATGTGATTCTGGAGCATGAGAACTGGACTATTATTCATGGAACACCAAAAAGAGGCGTTACTCCTACCACCAGGAAAAAGCATGGCAGGCATCCCTTTTTGTCCTTGCCGACAGCAACATTATCTAACAGATTTCCTAAGTTTGTCTTAAGAGTCTGAAAAGGAGAGAAAGGAAAAGGCAAGATCTCTCTATCTTCCCTCCTCTCTATCAGCACCCTGATAACACCCTTGCACCCACCACACATGGAAAAAGCAACAGGCTGTGCAAATTGCCCGGGCACTACTTTGGAATGCTGCAGAAAACAAACATGCAACCCGTGGCTTCTGCCACCACCAGTAAATCAGAGCTTTTATTTGCACTTTATCTGTATCCCGTTTGCGTCAGCTCTGCCACACTGCCAGGCAGTGTCAGCTGCTCTTGGGACTGCATGTCATCCCTGAGGTATGGCCACAAACAAGAGCTGGGAACAGGTCAGGCACAGAGATCACTGCAGGAATTCCCAGCTCATGTTGGTACTTCACCACCAGGTCCCAACCAGTGGAACAACACAGGGAGGGTTTAAAGGCTGAAGCTTCACCTACCGGAAACAGGAAATGTGCCAAGCTTCATTGACGGTCTTGTGGAGGCGCTGCCCAGCAGCAATGCTGTCCCCACATCCCAGACATCTCCAGACTTCTTCACCTGCACGCAGCAATACGAGGACAAACAGTTTACACCAGAGAAAACAAAGACTGGTACATCCTTCATAAACAACAACCTTAAACTAAGTAACTGACAGGAAAGCCTTCCCACATGGAAAGCTGTGGGCAGTCTATAACCCCAGAGTGGGAGATGCCAAATCAAACTCTGATATTTTGTATATTATTTTTTCCCCTCCAGATGCGACATCTGGTCCTTTACATTCTGCAGAAGAAAAAAATACGACTTTTCACATAAAACAGTTCAGTTACAGCTCTGTCAGAGCAGAGATTTCAGGAAGGCAACACTGGTCTAATACAACAATTCCAACAGAGAACCATGCTAGGCCAGGAAGCCACGCTACTGCTTCCCCCACACCACTGACTCAGCACATAACGTTTGCTCTCCTTTGTATAATTAACTGGATTTCCCAGAACTGAAAGAAAGGAAAGGCAAACTTTATTCAGTAGAGAACTAGACTACCAGGAAGGAATTACACTCTTGAATGAATATTCCCATAGAGACTGTACAGCCGACACCAGACTACTGTCAGACTTAGGAATGGGGAGTGATGCTACTGGCCTATTGCACTTTCAGAAAACACTTATAATAGTTATAATAGAGCTATAATAGTTTTTGCTAGAACTGCCAGAAAGCCCCAGAGAGAGCTGGTTACTTAGATGCAAGCAAGCTAGGAAAACAGAATAAAAGCTTGTGCACAAAGAACATTTGGCACACAGATAAATACTATCCAAAATCCCAAGGGCAGTGCAGGCATATTAAAGAGTCAAGAATCTTAGTTCAGCACAGGATGGCACAAGAAATGTGTCACAGAGCTGAGCAGATCCCAAACCCGTTTCCTCCTGTTACCAACAGTTTGCTTGCAGCAAGGCTGCATTAAAGAAAAAGGTGCACTTAACACAAGGAAAACCACAAACCACAGACTTCCCTTTTCCAAAGTGGTACAACTTGGTAGTTGCTTAGGCAAGTTGATACCACTGTTAAGTTCCTTGAAGCTACACAAAACAGAAGCCATCAGCCTTCCATGCACCTTTACCCCACCGCGTGGGTCAACAACGTTTAAAATTAACCAAGGTGAAGATCTTGCACTTTTTACACGAATAGCTATTTCAGGGAAAAAAACTTTTGCTGCTCAGCTACAAGCGCCACTATCAGCAGCAGTACCCAGAAAGGTCTCCATGCAGACTGTGAGGCTCAAATGTGACAAGTGGTGGTGGTTGCTACTTCAGTTCCCAAGTGTGCATCAGTTCCACATCTGGAGCACCTGCCCCTGTGCCCTCCTGCTAACCCAGAACACCAAGAACGCCACCTGAGCTCAGACCTGCACAGCAGAGTAAAGGTTGGGAAAACCTTGGAAAAACCTGACCCTTCCTGGGTTGTCTTATAAAGCAAATGGCTTTTCAGCACACCAAAGGGGCTTGGGAATAAAAGGCAAAGTTACGTGCCTCATTCGCAGGCAATGCTCTCCTCTCCAAGCAGGGCAAGCCCTGGAAGTCAGCTGAACTTCTGAAATAGCTGCAGACCAAAAACACCAGCAAACCAAACATTCTGCAGCTCCATCCCCTCCCATTCAGTGTCACCAGCACAATACACACGTGTCAAAACGGTCTGTGGATCCCATGAAAGACATTTAAAGATCAATGACTATACCACAGCTGACTAAAAGCAACAAATTACTCTCCGACCATCTTACAGGATCTGACCCATCAGCTTCGGAACTCCACGAAGCAGTCACCTACTCTCAGCTGTAGTGCTACATCTGTTTAAGTGTACCGAGGAAGGCTGATTAGCTCACGAACGGAAACGAACAGTTCTCAATCCAACAGAAATTGCTTCAGTATGCAGGAGAAACGACGGAAATGAACAAAACAGAGCAGGAAACAGTGCGAAGGAAACGCAAACGGACATAATCCATGTAACAGGTCTGTCGAGCTCCCTAGGACGGGAGGAATGTGCCAGAGATCGCCAGCGAGGAGCAGCCGCAGCGGCCCCGACGGGCACCGGCCGAACCTCGGGGGCACCGGCCGAACCTCGAGCGGGACAGCAGGGGCGGGGTGAGTGGCACCGGCAGGGCCCGCGGGCACCTGCGCTGCGGGACCCCGTGCCGCCTGCGGCCGCCTCGGGGCGGGACGCGCCGCGTCTGCACGGCCCTCCCGCGGATCGCATTGCACCGGGGCTGCGGAGACCCGCCGGGACCCCCCGGCCGCGCGTGTAGCCGCGAACCGGCGGTGCCACCCGCTGGAGGGAGCCGCGGGACGGCCCCAGAACGCTCCCCGGCCACGGGCTGACGTCCAGCCGGGGCGCGGGCTCAGGAGGCAGCGGCCCCGCTGAGCCCCGCGACACCGCCGATGAGCCAGCGGTCGCATAACGGCGGCGCGGCCGACGGGAGCCGCGGCCTCGTGTACGCGCGCCCGCCCCGAGGTGGCGGAGGCGGCTCCAGCCGCGAGGGCGCGGCCGGCCCGGCCCGAGCTCACCTGGCAGCGCCTCCATCCCGCGCCCGCCGCCCGCGCCCGCCCGACGCCAGCGGGTGCCGCCGCACCTGGGCCCGCCTCCCGGCAGCGCCGCGCACCGCCCCCCGCCCCGGGCCAATCGGCATCGCCCGCCCCGCGCCCCGGCCAATCCCCGCGCTGCCCCGCCCTGCCCGCCCCGCCCTTTCCGCGCCGGCGGCCAATGGCAGCGCCCCCCGCCCGCAGCCCCGCCCCGCACGTGCCGCGGCGGGCGCGGCCCCGGGCTGGCCCCGCCGCTCCCGCTCCCGGCCCTGAGGCAGCGCAAAGGAACGGCGGCGCACTCCGCTCAATGTAAAACCATTTTTTAATTCTAAATCACTTTCACAACAGTGAAAATTAGTGAGGAGGGACGGTAACGCACTAACCGAGCCGTCCGGGCCGTGTGCGCTCGGGTTACGGGGCAGGGGTACATACAAAAGCACACCAGGGAAAAGGGGAACCAAGCGTTAACACTTTTTAGACTATTTCATCCTTGAATTGCCGGAAAGTAAGAGCTCTCAGTCATGTTTCTCCAGCTTTCTCTAAATCCATTATGTCTCTCGCGCCTAGATGAAAATCCCCCCGATCCATTAAAATTCTGGTTTTAAAAATGTATTATTTAAATATATTTCAGTACCTCTTGAATCTATTGCAGTCACTTCTCTATTCTCTTTATGGGATAAAGGCTTCAAAGGGTTACCCTTCTCCTCCCCGCGTAACCTCCCAGCATCGGGTTTCTCCGTACAAAAGGGGAAGGAATCAATCCCTGACTGTCACATGAACCTTCCCTTCCCTTCCCATCAGCAGGTGGTGCTGACTGCGCAGGAGAGGAACCCAAAGCTGCGACATTGTAGGACAACCAAACAAAAACAGCCTTGCTCCTAGGAAGGGCCCCAGTTACCAAGTCATGCACGTGAGAGGACTCCTATGCCGAAGTTCAGCTTCTCAGAAGTGTCGCACAACAAAAGCTGAAGCACCACCTCAACTATAAATAGTTGAGCAATATATTCTGTCAGATTATCATCACGTCAGGTACAAATCTGACGTGACAAAACACTGCAGAACCTTTGCAACATTCTACTTGCCGGATGGAATTTTGGAGGTAGGCAAGTTAAATTTCAGTCATCCTCTGCCTTGACACTAAAAGGGAACAGTTAATAATTACATAAATAAACTTCTATAACAATTAATTAAAGGTGTCCTGCCCAGGAAAGTCTTCCATACACTAGAAAAATCCCAAGCTATTGAAACAAAGTTTCTATTAATTGATTTGTTTGTCAGTTTTCTATCTACTGCCAGGGACGTCACAACATTCATCTTGCAGGAAATCATTATGACTATGAGCGACCTGAATCAAAAAAATCTAAAAACAGTAAGAGAAAAAAAAATGGAATTGCCTAGTCAGAAATATGAACTGTTCATCTTGCTAGGGAATCTCTCATACCTGTTTCGAAGGAATCTACACAAATACATCAGGAGTACTCTTTAAAGCTGAATACCCAACAGGATTCCAAAGTGGCTGCAGAGTGCTCACCTTCCGAAATATCCCCTCAGCACATTAATGGTTGTGGTTTCCTCCAGCACTTCAAATTAAAATCTTTGGTAGATACTGCAGAGACTCTTGTGCTGTTGGTGTTCTGCTGTGGCACGGGAGAAGGTCTGTGTGCACCTGCAGAGAGGAGGTCTTCCAAAAGTTCCCTAATGAGCATGTGCTGGCAAAGGCAGGATCTCATGTCTCCTCCTGGGTAATTTTACAGTAGGACAAGTTTTACCTCAAGACTCAGGTAAACATGCCTTTTGTTCCTCTCCCCAAACAAGCTGATCTCAGATCTGTAATAGGATTTTATCTGGAGTACATGACCTTGTGTAGAAAGTCTCAAAGCCTTGGGAAAGATAAATGTCGCTACAGTGACGAGGTTGTGAGGGGATTATCCACGAGTGCAGCCACAGGTGCTGCACAGAGCCGGGGAAGACAACACTGTTTGTCAGTGAGGAACTGGGCTGGCTCCAGCAGCCCCACCTGGCTCCACAGCCAGAGACTCTTCCAGTGTCTGGCTTCAGCATGCTCAGGCTTTAAAAAATTGCAGCATAAATTTATATCCCTTCTTCTAATAGCCATCAGAACCATCAGGAAGGGTTTTCCATCACGCCGGGAAATAACAGACAGAAACCAGTCTCCAGACCTGGTTCCATTTGCATCACGTGCTGTGCCCCAGAGAGTCTCAGCAGTGCTGCAGATGATTTCCTGGAGAAGGTCGGATGTTGATGGAGACATTAAATATCATCTGCAGCTCTGGCAGATCCATCGTGGTTGCAAAGCAGGAGATACTGGTCACGCTGGAGAAGTTTCCTTACCTGCCCAGTCTACCTTGGGATAACTGTCTATCCCACAGACCTGGTGTCACTGATTGGCACAGGATTTCAAAGCAGCACTCCCTTTCAGAGTGCAGCTCAACGCTAGGCCCATGGTTTGTGGCAGGAACCTGTTGTACAAGATATCTGAGCTGAAATACACTTTTAAACCAATGTTTTAATTCCCAACTCTGGTGCAAAATGTGAGATTCCTCATTGTGCTGTGGTACCACCAATTCCTGAAGCCCATAGTTAGCTATGGAACCAGACACCAAGAGGTTTAAAATGGGATGGGGATGCAGTTTGTAACTGTTTCAGTGGCCTTGTTGGTCATGAATATATAGAGTAATGGAAAAGACTTATGCAATCAACAGCCAGAACATTATCACCAGTGCCACAAACAGGAAGAGGCGGGAAAGGAACTGCTCATCCACATATTGAGGAGTCCCTGGAACAGCTGGAAAACAGGAAGTAAAAAAAACAAAAACAAACAGTTCAGCTCCTTCCTCTCCTCTAGGATTGTGTATATTCTGAATATAGTACATTCATACATTGAAAAATATGCAAAGAATCTGCTGGGTGAGAAACTTGCTATTTCCTACCCTCAGCCTGGCTGGCTACATGGGAAGATCAGAGGGAAGACAAGTATCAGATCCCCGAAGCAGGACCTTAGTTCCCACCCCCAACACATTTTCAGGGGACACTGAACTAGAGTTAATAGGGAAGATAATTTGATCCAAGGACAGCACAGGACCATGGCAACGCTGGTGTAACGTGAAGAATGAGTTTGTTCCTCCTAACTCCTGTGCCATAGGACATGGTGGAAGATTTGCCAAGCATAACTTTTCTTAAAATCAGAAAATCCTGGGCAGCAGGTGTTCCTGTTCAAAACAGATTCAGTTTGTCTACAGTGAAGATAGGGAGTAGGTTCTCTAGGGATCACTTAATTGTTAGAGGTCACCCCTTAGAGTAACCCAACTGCTTTTTGTTAATCAAAAACATGAAGTAATTTCACTGGAAAGTTACTTCTTGTAGAATACAGATGACTGTCTCAGAGTTGAATTCTGAAAAATGAACAATCTTTGCATTCATTATTTTGTGGTACAGAGCACCAGTTTAAATTTTTCCTTTCTATCTTTCAGGAAATGGTCCTTTCCTGCTGTTTTTAAAATCTACATACACCCCCTAGTGACTCCTTTTTATTATTATTAGAAAGTCTAGTCCAATTTGTCTCATTTTTCAGGAGGAGTCTGCTGGTGTATCAGAGGAGACATCTGAATTAAAGGAGTCTCCAGTGCCACTGTTTCTCTGCAGTGACTGGTCTCCCAGGAGGGCCTTCAGCTAATTATATGGAAGTGAGAAATTTGCTTCTTTTACAAGTCTGTACAAAACATATCAGCCACAGACCACGTTCTCTACTGAGTGTTTTTGCCCTCATTTTGTGTTTCTATTGACAATAATGGTTACTGTTCAGCATGTTTTGTCATTTAGGTTATTAAAGAGTTTGTAAAATGTCTGTTTGTGACAGGACAGGAGAAGGATCCGTGGTACCTGGAGGAGGTCGCCCATCATTTATGTTGAAGGCTGTTGCAAATATACCAAAGGGAAACGCCCCAATTCCAAATGACATCTGGAAGCCACCATCGCCAAACCCAAAGCCCTGGAATCCCTGCAGACAACAAAGAACAGAAGACAAAAAAGGTACCAATCATTTGGAGCCTATTTCAAGAGTATTTTGTCCAAGTGCAGACATTCCCTCTCACTGGCTTTCCAATGGCTGAAGGAGGGCCACGCTGTCTGGCAGCCTTCAGCCTGACACACTTTTGTAGAAATCCCCTTAGCTCTCCTGGGTTTAAAATGTTTCAGACAGCAGTACATTTGCCAAACAACCCAAAGGTTTGAGAAAATGAAAACTAGCAACTGCAGTTCTTGCTTGAGGGCCACAAATTAGGACAGTATTTCTCAACTGTAATCTTTCTCAATTTAAAGTAGTAGGTATCTGCTGATGTATCAAAATCAACAGAAGGAATTCTATTTAGAATGTCTTAACAATGTATCATGTGCTAACAGCCTTAGCCATAAAAAAAAGGTACTTAAGAAAATAATCTAAATTTATTTTTGTGATACATGTGCATCATTTAAACACTGAGTGAAATAATAAATTGCCAGCGGGATGCATAGAGCCTTCGAAGGAAAAGTAAAAAAAAACTTTACCAGGGGACTCAAGGTGGCAAAATCACCTGGGGCAGGAATGCAAGACATAAGGAAAGGAGGAAAAAAGGAAGTTACAATGCAATAACACTGAATCTGTGGGATCCAGACTAAAATACCACATCAAATCAAAAGATAAGTGTTCTGAACTGAGATGAATCCTGTTCTGCAGAAGCAGTGTGCTGTTTGAGAACTGACTATGTGTGAATCCAGGGGCTTGTGTCATGCCTGAATGTGGAGAGCCCACAGTTCTGTAATCCACTGACCTATGCTCTCACATCAGGATTAAAACAGTGATAACAGTTCTGCAAGACCCTCTGGTTTATCACCATCAACAAGGGGAGAACAAAGATGATTTTACTCATATAATAAAAGCCAAATGCTTCTTGGTTGAGCCTTGATTTTAAGAGTTGTTCTTTTGACCATACTCTTCTCAAGCCACTTTGCCACTAACTGTGAGGGACAGCAAAGCTCTCTGTGGCAGGTACAGGATCTGAAGAGAACAGGGAAGCAGCACCTCTACTGCCCTGCCTTCATACCCCATCCCTCTGATTTACAGCAGCACCAGCTGAAAGGTTCAAGTAAGGTACAGGAGCTGATTTAATAAGGCAGCAATGCTCCAGTGAAAGAGAACAGCTGAACTCCCAATGCATTCAATACAGAAATGCACCCTTAATCACACCCTGCAGAGTTGTTTGCTTGAAGCATGAGGGAGACAATCCTCTCCAAGGACCCTGTGCCGAGTTTCATGGAAATGTGTCATTGTTTCATCAGGTCATGCCTGCTGCCATCGTGCTGAAGAACACTGTGCTCTGTCCTACTGCCTACTCCCACCTCTGCTCCATCTGTGCCAGCTGCTGTTTGCATTCACCCTATGTAATCTCAACAAAACCACAGATCCCTCTTCAAACTAACATGTATACAACAGATATGGACTATATGGATTTTCTTGCATGTAATGCCATGGTACAGTAACATCCCATGGAAACAAGAGAAGCAGGTGTCAGTATCAAAAATCTAAATTCATACGTGGATTACATATTTCAATGACATGTATGTTTTGACAGAAATACACTTGCACAAAGAATTTTCCAAGCAAAGTGTTCCTTGTATTTAAGTATGGAGAACAATCAAGTATTGAAAGCTTTTCCAGCAATACCACACTGGGCATTCATGAGCCATGATCCAAGCTGGGCTGTTCTTTGGGATGCTAAAGGGTACCATAGGAATGGAGCTCTCTGCCACACCACAACTATCAATGATTTATGAACAAAAGCTGCAGGACCCTCATGCAGGATCTCTCACACATATTATGTCCTCCAGGATGAATAAATACCACTATCAATAAAAACAACTAAACCACTCAAGCTTGTTTGACCACTTACCCCTCTGTTCTCTGGTTCAGGTCTCTGTCCTTGGGGTCGTGGTGGAGTTTTCTCTCTGCAGGAAGTTGTGAAATTAGCTCAAGTGCAAGGACATTTTACAACATTATCTGCAGTGGCCTGGCTAATAATGCAGAATCACCACAAAACAGTCTCCTGGGGTCATCCAGCAGAGCTGGAGCAGTGTGTGAGAGAGCCAACCACACAGCCTTGGACCTCCAGCAGCACATCACTGAATTAATGCTGTACTTTTGAATAACAAATACCCATTGCAAAGGCTAAAAACTGAGGACATGAACAGTTAATACAAGCTTCTCTGGTCATTGCAACCTGCCACTTGTCACAGATAATTAACACTTGATTCAAATTAAAATTAATTGCCAGTTGAACAAGAAATGTGTGCAAACCCAGGCCCTGAAAAAGCCAGAAATATTTGGCAGAAATATCAGATGTATGTCTTTTGACAAAGTATTTAGAATTGTGAATCCAGCACTTTAACCTTAAGACCCTAAACTAAAGTTTCATCTTTAATTTTCAAATGAAAATAGTTTCATTTAGGTTTCTTACCTGGGGTCCTGTTGCCCAGTGCTACCTCTTCCATACAGAGGAATAACTTTATCTCGACTGATTCCTGCTTTGCATACAGGACACACTTGTCTGTTTGGCCTGGTTTCTAGCCACTGAAAGAAAGGAAATTATAAGAAAACTTCTAAAATACCATGAAAACAACTATGCAAACCTCATTTGCAGCCAGGCAGAAAGACTTGAGCAATTTCTCACAAAGGTCTGGAGCAAGACATTTTAGTACATGCCCAGTACTCCCCGAAGTGAAGTAGGTACTTGGGCTGTTGTTCTGGTGGGAACAACTTGCTGATGTGTACATATTCAGATCTGTGTTGGAGTAAAATAAGAAATAAAGAGTATGGAGCATAGGCCAAGGGCTAGTGCAGATAGCCTTCCTGTCCTCCACCTTTTCTATAATGGTATCACAACGTAAAACACTATGTACACAAGAAGTACACTCAGCACTTAAACCTGCAAACTAAACCCTGCAAGCCCCAACAGTAATTGTACCAAAACTGCAATTACACAGGGTTTAAGAAACTCAAAAGTGGAAGCAGGTGGAACAGAATCTAGTTTTCTTGTTGCTCAAAGTGCAAATTGCAAGGTGTTGCACATGAAGCTGCATGAGCAGGTTGTGATTGCCCTGGAGAGAAAAGCACATTGGAAAAGAGGGGGACACTCCAGAGAACCAAGGGCTTTATTGAGCAACTGGAGCTGATGAAAGACAAAGTAAAATGAAACCTGTCTTACCTGGTGTAAACAAGGCCAACTGTGAGCATTCCCAGGACAGTTTGTTCACAGAGCAGAAAAAGAGAGGAAAATGGAATTAGTTATTGAATTTGATACGACAAATGTGCAGCGTACAGGGATAGTGCAGTTCGGTGACAACAGAATCCTGGAATCCAGCTGGACCAGTTCTGTAGCCTCCCATTAAAACCCTTTTTGTAAGCACAGCCCAAGACTGATCTCCACTGGTTTTTTGCAGGTTACACAATCTACATTCCTAATGTGGTTCTGTGCATCTGCCATTGCCACGTCCTCATCCACACCAAAGGCCCAGACAGAGGCTGTGTTAATATTAGGGTTTATAGGGCAAATTTTATCATCTGATACCATGAATGAAAAGATATCCCAGAGCCAAGATGCAAGTGAGCAAGATGTCAGTAATGAGACTTTAGGACGTTAGAAGATTGAGCTGAAACAGCCACATTCACAGAATCATGGAATAACTCAGGCTAGATGGTACCTCAGGTAGCCTCTAGTCCAAACTGATGCTCAGAGCAGGATCAGCTACTGAGATCAGACTCAGCTGCTCATGGCAGAGAAATTCCCATTATACAGACTAAATTGCTATGGGAAATTTAAAAAAGGTCAAAGACAAGCAAACTACAAGGTAAAACTGCAAAGCAACCATCTGTTTTCAAAATGGTCTCAATAACACCATTCAGACAAGACACCTCATATTTTCAAAGTTCCATTCTTCCAAATCCTTTTGTGCAACAATTTAATCTTATTTCATCTTAACATGCTCTAAGCTAGCGATTTTCCATCTCCCCAAATAAAATCCTGGATTTTCAGATGTTATGTATATTTGCACAGGAGAAACAAACTTTCAGGCCTCTTTATTAAAGATTTAGCCCACTGTGTAAAATAACTCCAACCTCCCCATATTTGGCCATGTCAACCCTTAACTTCTTAAAATTCAAAAAAGGGAAAAAATTCAATCCAGGTAACCCACATCAGAAATCCTGCACATGTATTATATCTGTGCTGAACATTATTTCCAAGTCAAATTAAAGAACTGAAAAGTTCCTAACACAAGTGCAATATCATGGGAAAAGAGAAATAGCCCATATGTAAAAGCCTATTGCCTACTTTTTCTTTTTTTTATGATTGCAAAGGAAAAAAGAGCAAGCTTGTAGGAGAAACTACAATTTGGCCTCCAGAAAGTAGATTCATATCCAGGTTTAGGTATGCAGAGGTTGGAAAGGAATTTAGGTCTTAAGAACATAGCTGTGCTATGCCAGACAGCATAAGTAAAATAACACACATAAACAAACAGTATCAATGAGCACTGAATGTCTGTGTAGGGCTGCTTGTTTGTTTGCTTTTATACAATAATCCAGAAGTACAGGGAATTTAAGACACAGGAAATTCATTCCCTAGAACACAAGCAAAGAAAAACCTCCTAAACCAAACCCACAGTCCCTCTAGAATTACAAACATCACAGTTTTTTATGGGATCAGATAGATGGTGTTGTGGCTGCTGTGTGGGGCTGCAGCACTTACCAGAAGAGGTGCCCACACAAGCTGATAACTGCATCCTTGGCAGTGTCTAAGCAGATGTTGCATTCAAAAGTGTTGTCCTGATTAGTGTTGTCCCCAGGACCATTGCTGCTACTGCTGCCACTGGTCCCTCCAGTACTGGAGCTCTTTGTTGATGCAGAAGCCGTGGGTCCTTTGCTTGCCATCCTCAAGAACTACCCAAATAAGATCAAGAAAATTTTCCTCTTGGAATTCTAGCTGTGAGAAAGGGGAAAAAAAATAAACAAATCTAAACATCTTATTGGCATTACAAACATTGCATTGCACTGGCTCCATTTCAAACTGGTAGTGATTTATCTAAGAAGCTGCTGAATCCTGTTGTTGATGGTTTTAGTTTAACGTAGCCAAGAGGGATCTTTTTTTAGAAACTAAGCTACTTTACAGTCCCATAGTATGACCTGGCTGATGTGTGACCTGTATTTTACTGTTACTGATAAGCATCCACAGCCAAAACAACCCCTCTGTATTTTCTCATAAATGCCATTTTCTGTAAGGAGAATGAGCTCACCTAGTTATACATGCTCTTCCAAAATTCAACACAACTTATAGCTGAGAGTGCAGTCTGAAGCAGAATTTAATTGTGAAGTAATTCAGAGTTTGAACAGACTGACAACGTAGAGTTTTAAGTTCAATGTTCATTAGTTTGGAGCATTAACGATAATAATGGCAAGCAAAGGTGCCTTAGAACTTGAATTACCTCCTGATCAGTATATTGCTGCTATCACAGCAATGTTGGTATGACTATCAAACATTCCTACTACTTTCAAACTACCAAACATTTCTAATCTAGTAGTAAGGTAGTAAAAATTAAAAATTACAAATTTTACCTTAATTGAATTACCTTGCTTGAATTTTACTTCCATGCTTTCAGCTCTCATTAACATAATCAAGTTGATCAAAGAACAGCATTTATTTTATTTCAGTAGCAACAACCTCTACAGTGTAATTCCTTGATACGTAAATTCCAGAGTATCTAAAACTTTGAGACTCAGCACAAGGCATTTATGTTTCTAGAAACACTTTTACCAGTACAAGATTTTTAATCCAAGAACTAAGAGAATTTCAGTAAGCTACATAAATTAATTCACTAAACCAAAAATGTTTAAAATATTCCACTGTGCTTTTCATGAAACTCTAACATCATTTGATGCTGCAGGAACAGGAATACTTCGATAAAGCTGTGAGAAACAAACAGGTGATAATCTGAACTTTTTGCAAGTGTATAAACAGTGAAGTTAAGTGTTTTCAAAGGGCAACCTGAATTTTTCAGAAGGTAATTTCTTTGCAAACTTACCCCCCAAGCACTAAAGGCTTTTCTAAGTGTTGCCTCTTTGTAGCAGAGGTGCAGGACAGCAAACCAAAGCCTCAGGATCTCCAGATTTTTGGGTTTTTTTCCTACAATACAATCCCACTGCAGAGTCAGGAAAGCATCACACCCGAGCCTTGTGAAGTATTGCAGCAAAGACTCAGTTCCAGCAGGTGAAATCTACTCCTGCAGAGCATTTTCACTCCATTACATCATTTTACACCGTGTCCCAGAAGGGCAGGTTTGTATTCACAGATGCTGCACCTCAACACTGCTTTCAGCAGTGCTGACTCTCAGCATTTCACACCACGACTCCATTTACACTCAGTGCATGGTACAAAATTAAAATTCGTGTTAGATCAAGGCAGATGGAAGTGCTGCCAACACACAAACTGTAAGCCAAAGACACTTGGATTTTTCACACATCCTTACAACCAGAATCTTCAGCTTGTCTTGCTCAGTAGTTTAAGTGAAAACTTATCAACTTGGGCCTATATAAATTAATATAAAAGTTGAGAAAACCTCCTTAAAACTAAGGAGGTTTACTAACTGTAAAAAACACTGCATCCCTTTATAGAATGGTCACAAGAAACATCTTGACATATAACACAAGGAAAGGATGTGTAAAAGAGGCAAATAAATTCTGAGTCTCCAGTACCAAAAAAACCACTTTTTTGGGAAAAAAGTTCCTTTTTCCAAATTAAATTCCAAATATCCATAAATATGTGTATATTAACACAAAGAATCTGGAGACTTGTCAGAAAGATAAAATCTGTATCTCCACAAAAACTTATTGAAAAAAAACCTCAGTTTTTAGTAACTAAAACAAATAAATAAAATGTTATGAAGGATGACAAAGAAATCCAGAGAAATATCAGTAATGAAATGGAATAAAAGTGGCTGAGACAGAAGAAAGATTAAACTGACATAATGCACTGAATCTCCTTTCCTACAAGAGAGTCATTCCTTAATCTCTACTAGGGATCGTCTCCTAAGTATTTGTTCATTGGCTAATGGGGCCCAGTGACCTGTTAGGATAGAACCAATTTAAAGTATCAAAACCATAGCAAAATGCAACAGTAAAAACAATAAAAGCCTTCTCAAATATTTGCTGTTGTCCCTGGAATATCCCAGTTTAACATAACTGGGTCTGTAATAAGTGCTGCTGGGCTCTGTACGTCTGCACATATACAAAGAAGCAAACGTGAAACAGCTTCCAGTGGCTAAATTTACATTTGAGAATCATATCATATGTAGCCTGTGAGTGTACTCTGAATCCTGAAGTAGGAATTCAACTGTAAATGGAACTTTTCCTGAGTGCAGAATGAGCTCAAAATTGAACAGTCACTCAAACTACTTAAACTCTGAGAAAACTCTCTAGGGAAAGAAAACCCAACAACAAACCATAAGCAAATCACAAACTAAAAAAAAAATTAACAACTAACACAACAGGAAAAACCCCATTTTCACCTTGCTTAGAGTCTGGGAGGAAGACTGAGTACACTGGAATAGAATATGACGTCTGGGGTTAAGTAAACACAATTAAGGGATGCCAGTCAAGGTTTGCTACATCCTTGTCCTTCAGATCAGGTCTCCAAATCAACCCTAGAATCATGATGAACAGCAAACAAAACAAGGGAAAGGATATAAAAATCAGCTGATACCTAACTGCAGGCATTCAGAGATCTTATCTTTTCTCTCTCTTACTTCTTTGCTCTCTACATATTTTCAGGAAAACAGTATCTTTGTTTCATAAAAGCAGTCTAGATTAGCTGTTTATTTCCTTTAAACCACGATCCCTGTGTTACATCCCAACAGGTTGTTCTGAAAATTACTGACATTTACTGCATCCAAGAATGGAGAGTGGCAGCAGATGAACGGTTAAGAAACAAGGAACTCATTTGCAAGGAGGCTTCCTAAATAAATACAGAAGTCTGGTGGAGCATGAAGACATGGAAGGGGAGGTACAGGAGAGGGTGAAACTGCAAAAAGCCAACCGGGACCTGAATGTGTCGTGACAGAGCACAGGAGGTCCAGGACAGCAGTAAGTGCAGGGGACTGGGAATGGCCATGTGAGGACTGGGTACAGATCTCACTAACAGCCAGTAAAAAAGAAATTTTCCCGTAATATTTTAAAAACTTAATCTGTAAATCTCCTGGGAGCAACTGCACACCAGAAAAGCACGAGCCGAGTGGCTACTGTCAAAGATCACACTTCTGAACTCAGCAAATGACAATGACTGCATTTCCAAAGTACACTGGCCCAACCCTCAAAACACGGGAAAAACACTTCAAGACAGGCTAGAGGAGTTTTCACCATAAAAATCTGCTGGAAGCAGCACATGAACATTAATTCAACATGGGAAAGGCAGAGAGGGAATATAAATTAGAGGCTAAATTCACCTATACAAAACAGTCCTGGAATAGGTGATCACAGCATGACTTTAGGCTTTCTCAAGTATTTAATTTTTTTCATGAACAATGAGAAAAAGTTCTGGTGAGGATATAGAGGTCTGGCTAATTTATTAACAAAACCCAAAGTTTGTTCCTCTTTGCCAGAACTATGAAATAAAAAGAGCAGCACTTTGGATGTCAATTCCACTGGAAAGACCCTTTTCCATATTTCTTTCCTCATGAATCTTATTTTAGCTAAGATTACTGAAATGAAAATAATCCAAATCTAGTTTGTGTATTAAACAAGTTCTGATTTAGTTCCTGAACCTTTTGCAGTTTAAATGAAAAAGAAGACTTGTCAGTGTATTTTTCTTATCACTAAGGTATCATTTTCTGACACTTAAAAATTTTTATAAAAGGACTATTAACATTAGAAAATCTATTTAAACCTAAAATTACTACTGAGAGTCTATATAAATATGCCCACTCATAAGTTTAACAACCTGATACTTAACATATTACAATTGCGTGGGCTCCAAGTACAACAACCAGGTAGCCTTAGCTGAAAACTGCTGACAGTGCCTAGAAGAAAATGCACTGACTCCTTGACAGTCATTTTAGATATTCTTAACAAACACATGACTGTCCTGCTGTTAATCATTAAATACATATTTATCTCTCACTACCTTTTTACTCTTTTCTGTCCCCCAAATATGTTACATTTTAACTCCTTGGAAACATTTCTCGAGTTCATCTTTCCACTTCCTGTAACCTGTCCAGCATTGGGCACCCGCTTTTTAATATTACCATAAAGTGGTCTCAAAACATGAATCCATGTGATCACTTCTCTTGCAAAACCAGCCCCGTCTGCCTTCCAGCCCGACGTGCCCTTGCCTGGCCTGCTTTCATTAACTGGGATTCTGCAACGCACATCTGTGTTACAGTCAGTGCTGCCAGGGAAGGGCCCAGCTGAAGGGCAGCTTTGGGAGCTCTGAGGAGTCCATGTACCTTGGAAATGCAAACAGTAAAAACCCTTAGGTGATTAAAGTAATTGCTTTTTTATCCATTCCATAAGAGTTTAATATAGACTCCAAGAAAAATCTTTCAACAAACATTTTATCCTCTTACCTCACAAAGTCCAAAGAAAAAAAAAAAAAGAGAAATATAACCAGTTGGTAATGTTGCCCCAGCGATTTCCTGGTCTGCAGTGCCGTGAGAGGCAGACGTGCCTGGCTAACCCAGGTTAGCAGCAAAACGTAAAAACACCTAATACAGCAATTATTATATATAACAGACGTGATTTAACAAGTAACAAGCGAGTCTTAATGTATAAGCAATTCTCAAAACATAAGTAACGTCGTGTCCAAGCAGCGACATACCGAGGCAGACCCATCTATCGCGACAGAGGCCCGGCCCCGCACAGCCACCACCGAGCAGCACCTGCGGCCCCCGGACCCTTCGGGGAGCCCCAGGCGGCAGCACCGGGCCGCGGGCCGGAGCTCGGGGGACCCGCGGCGGGGGCGCGGCGGCCGCAGCTCCAGAGGCACCGGGCGAGGCCGGGGGTCCCGCGGCGTCCCCGCCCCGCTCGCTCGGAGCAGGCGCAGGCGGCTCCGGCCTCCCGGCGCCCGGGCCCGGCCCGGCCCTGCTCGGATCGGCCTCGGAGCCACAGCCCGGCCCCGGCTTCCCCCCACCCACCACCCCCCGTCCGGCGCGGCCCGGCCCGGCCCTGCTCACCGGCGGGTCCGGGCTCCCCGCAGCGCCCGTGCCGAGCCGCCGCTCCGCCGGGCCCCGTCACCTGACCGCCCGGAAGCGCGGCCAGCGGAAGGGCCCGGCCCCCGCCCCTCCGACCGCGGCGGCTCCGCCAACCGGGCCGGCGGCCGGGGGGGCGCGGGCAGCGACACCCACCCGCCCGCCCGGGCCCCTCGCACACCCCGCGGGCGCTCGTTACCTCGGGCTGCTCCGGGGCGAACGGCCGGGGCTGCTCCGCCCGCGCTCGGCCCCCGCCGCGACCCCCGTTTCTGCGGCTGTGCGCGGCTCTGCCGCCCGGGGACGTGCGGGGGCCGCGGCCAAACGGCGGCTCCGGGCACTGCAAGGAGTTGGGACCGAACGCTCGGCCCAAGCAGGAAGGAAGGACGGAAAGGGAAGGACGGAAAGGGAAGGAAGGAAGCTTGAGGGAAACAAATTGTTGGCTTACGAGTGTAGAGTGCTAAGAATCTGAACTGAGAAATATCTCCAGAATAGAAACAGAGAGTTTGATAAAAGGATTTATACAGTTGTGAGAAACTAAAGAAACTAAGGGAGCAAAGCGAGGAAGAGGAGGTGAAGGAGAAGGCATGTCTGGGGGGTTTTCTCTGCTCTGGGGGCACCCCACCGGTCCCGAGGACTCCAAGGTACAAAACAGCCCAAAATTGCTTGTTCTTTTAGAGTGTGGAGAACGGGTGAATCCTAAACCAAGGTCTTCCACTAAAGAAGGTGAGTTTTATGAGGGAATAGTGAAGAAATGAAGGGAAGCTAGTGCGAAGGGAGCCCATCAGAAAGAGCCCAAGGATATTGTCAGCGGCCTGTCTGCTGCCAGGTGCTTGAGCCTGCACAGCTCGAGTGTGAAGGTTGGAAGGTGCAAGCCAGAAGTGTCCAGCGGGATAAAAACAGTTATAACAGTTATACAGCCTCTTTTCCTGCTTTCAGCAGCACATAGGCTCGGCAAAACCCACGGCAAAATGGTTATCCAGAACCCCACCTGAAATCACCAAACATTGTTATATTACAGCAGAAAACTTAAAGTTGAGATGAAAATGCAATATGGAATGTGACAGTGCTGATGGCATGTGGAACACACAAAGCAGTCCTACCTGCACGAGCAGTGAAAATCTCCAACAAAGCCGCTTTCCTCGTTTTCAACCAGTCAGCAAAGGAGCAGGGTTGGGCACAGCTTCTACATTCAAGCAAAAATTTGTCATGCCAGTGTAGTAACTGATTAGGAAGTTACCAGGGCCCCAAAGACAGGAACCGTATCCTCCAGAAACTGATTAAAACAAGGATGAGTTTATGAAATTCGGGTATGGGAGACCCTGTCGGACTACAGCTTCCGGCATGCCAAGCGGCCAGACTACAGCTCCCAGCATGCCAAGCGGCCGCATCACAGCGCCCAGCGTGTCTCGCGCTTGCAAGATGGCGGCGCCCAGGGGCGGCTCGGGCCCGGACAGCGGCTCGGACTCGGACAGCGGCGGTGAAGCGGCCGCGCGGTTCCGGGAAGCTGCCTGGGACTGCACCGCGCAGGCGGCGGTGGCGGCGCGGGCGGAGCCGCGCAGCGGTGAGGAGCGGCGGGCAGGCTGGGCTCTGCTCCCCTCTGCGGCGTGCCCTCCCCTCTCTTCCCCGCCTCTCCGCAGCTCCTCCTGACCCGCGGGGATTGCTCTGTGCCGCGGTGCCGGTGTGAGAACTGAAGGGGCCTCTGCCCGGCCCTCCTGAGCCCATGTCCGGCCGCCAGCCGGGCCCAGAGCCCCTCCTCGACAGTCCTGGCCCAAGGGAAGTTTCCCTTTCCCCTCATAACTGTTCTCTCCCGCACATGGGCCAGGGCTGTCTTTCACGCGTTATTCTTTCTGCTCTAACTGGTGCCTGACGGGGGTTAAAGAAGTCCTGGCTGCAGGTCTCTAAATGTGCCTTTGCTACTTTATTTTCAGGGGGCTTTAGAAAGGAGCGATTGCAGCCTAAAGATCAGCCAAGCCTGAGGTATTTTTGCTTCTGGTTTCAGACTTAATGTTTCCCTGAAGAAAATGTTAATGTGTAATATTTATGCTCCTTCTGCATTGTATCTTGTGACGCTTCATACTGAAAGGGCCAGTTCTGTTTGGGGAATTAGTCTAACCATAATCTGAAATGATGCTTAAATCTGAACAGACTAATATGTTTTTAAGGTTTTGGGTGATAGGGTCAGATGTTATTGGCCTCGAAAGAGATAATCCTTGTTCTTATTTCAAATGGGCGTGAGGCACTCGGCCGTGAGGAGGGTGACAATGAGCTCCAGACGACTCCAGAGTTCAGAGCACACGTTGCAAAGAAACTGGGAACCATGCTAGACAGGTACTGGTATGCAGGGCTAGAACCATTTGTTCTGTGGGTCAGTTACACTGATGTGTTTGTGTGCTAAACCCAGGAAATTCAACATCTTGTCTCCTTCATCCCTGTATTAAGTATAGGCCTCCAATATTCTGTGACCTAACCTTGCTGATGTGCTGTGCCCATCGGGTCAGAACTCTCTCTGCAGCACTTGTCTCCATTTGCCTTTGTGGTGAACATCTTGTGGGGAGAAAAGAGACTTTAGGTGCCTTAGCAACTTCCATCACATAAAGGCTGGCAGGAGAATCTTTGATTTGTTCATACAACCTAAACCAGTACCTGATTCAGGGTTGTGCTGGCAGAGTGCCTGATGCTGGGCTGCCACTGTCTTTCTGTTGTGCAAGCATGGCCCTGGAGAATTGGAATTCGTGCTGTTCAGAGCTAGCTTTAGAAACACTGTTTTTAAATTGTTCTTGTGGCTTGCATTGCTGAGGAGAGAAGGCCTGGTCTGCTCTGGAAACAGAGAGCTGAGGCAGCCTCATTAACAAAAAGGATCTATGCAACATCTCCCTCTAGTCTTGTTTCCCAGAAACACCCAACTTTAGTGCAGTTTGCACAAACCTGTATAGATCTGACTGGAGTTTTCTGTTTAGTTTCATCACTGTCTTGAAGGACTCATCAGGACCATCACAGACTTCAGTGGCACAGTCTGACTCTGATGATGATGGTGAGTTCCAGTCTCAGCCATTGTGGCTGTTTTGTGACTGTTACCTGATGACAGGTGGGATGGATCCTGTCCATCACCAGCTGTACATCCAACTGACTGATAAACATTTGCACTAAAAGAATTTCTGTTGGTGTCTGTGAGGGCTGTTACTTTGCAGCTCTGGCCTCTGTGCCCCAAGTCCTCCCACTTAGTCCCAAATAATTGCCGTCAAGCACTGTGGAAATGCAATCAATGGCAGTTGATTGCTTCCACCTCTGTTTTATATTCTGTCTAAAACCTCCCTATCCATACTTCAGGTTTTCGCCTCTTCTCTTCCTCTGTCCCTGGAGACTGTGGGAAACCAGAGCCTTGCCCTGCAGCAAGGAGGAGGAGGAGGCCAGTTAGCTCCAGGTGAGGTGCTTGCAGCTGCTTTGCTCCTCAGGTGCTGTTGCATCCCACATTTCAGAGGCAGCTGGGACTCCCACAAGGGAATAGGAAGCTGAAGAGCTTGAGAAGTGTGTATTTATACTTATATTTGACTAGATCAGAATTTTGTTTCTTTTTTAGTGCCAGGGAACTAGAAATGTTTGTGGGAGATTTTCTTTCCCCTTGTGGTGTGTGTTAATAACATGTTGGCCTTCAGACTGGTTAAATGCAAACTGTAGGGGTGGGAGTCCCAGAGCCACTGGGTGTTTATCGTGTGTTCTCATCTCAGATTACTCTGCTCTCCAAGTTTTGGGTGAATTCAAGGCACAAGTGCAACACAACTTCCTTCCTTCTTGTTACCTTTCCAGTGACACAGACAGTGACCAAGAGTGGCAAAAGTACCAGGAGGCTGCCGTGTCAGCTGCGGATATTCTGAAGCAAAGTGCTTTTCCTGCATTGTCCCAGGGTTCCAGCCAGGATCAGAGTCAGGGTAATGTAGAGCCCAACCAGAAAAAAAAGAAGAAAAAGAAAATTAGGAGAGAGAACAATATTCAAGAGAAAATAATAGACCCAGCAGAGTGTGACCAGATCTGCAAAGATTTGCCTCGGTTGGTGTCTGCAAATGGCCAGCAGGAGAGACATGACAGCAATCACAGAGAGAACTCTGTGCTGCCAGGAGCTGTGAAGAAGAAAAAAGAATGATGATTTTGCTCTGCAAACGGCAGGTGGTTGTGATGGGTGAAGGAAACTGAAAGAAAACCTAACAACAAGAGTTGCTGCAGATGAGGGAAAATTAATTGGCAAAGCTTCTGTTCTAAAAGCTCAGTGGCCTGAGAGACTAATTAAGTGACTTCCTGTGCTGCTGGCGTCCCTGAGGAAGGGAACATTGTTCTCCTCACACAGCAGTTGTCTGTGCTGCCGCTTGTGCAGGCCCAATCTAAAAGGATTAAAAACTGTGCCAGACTTGCATGGCAGAGGGATGTGATCATAGCTAGATTCCTCCTGGCTGTTCCTTCACATCATGAAACCCTTCTGAAGAAAGTATATGATGAATTGAATTTGGTTTACATGGCAACAGGTGATCAACTGCTTTTTCTCTTTGCCTCCTTGTAGACTACTGAGAATAGCTCCAGCCTATGGGAGACTCATTTATCAAAAGAATCCTGTCAGAAATCAGGGCCCCTTATTTTTTCCCTGCAATCCTCATAACAATCTCTTGTTGAAAC